ACTCACCTGATTTAACGCATATGACTCATTAAGACGTATCACACTCACTAATGTTCGTTTAGCGTTCTCTGTGTCCTTAAACAAATAATCCGTTGATATATTCACCGCATCGTTGTACAAAACACAGAGTTCAAAGTGTGAGAAAAATTTGCGCCTAATCGTCCGGAAATTACGCTTATTATTACATCAATGTTTTGGTAATTAATTTTGGTAATGAATCCGCATTACTGTAAAATTCTTATCGGTTCATGATCAGTTTAATGAAGATGTCGACAGCCAAACCTCAATGAAAGCCTGTGGTTTGGAGCGAAGTTCAAACGTTTTCACCTCCACCGGGACACACCCACTGATCCGTGCTCGCATTTTACAATTTCATTTTATTAATCGGTGACACACGGAGGATTTGGCAACGCCGCGTAGCCAAACGAATCAGATGAGTCAGTCGGCTTCAAGTCGTTTTAGATGAATATTACGATTTTAAATGGCCAAAAATAATAACGTAAAGATCCACAGGTGTAAAAGATTTTAACGATAGAGCAAACACGAGCACGATTGGTCTGATTACCTGGTCCCCGAAGAGTTGACCAGGTTTTGTGTTCACCCTGTGTGACTGTGTGTGTGTGTGTGTCCATCCGCGATAATTCCGCCATTTATGAACCGATTGTCACCGAATTTGGTCAAGCCCTCGTGCCCGATGCCGCAAAAAAAAAAAAAAAAAAAAAAAAAAAAGTTTGGTGACGATCCGAGGTCATTTGAGGTCACACAGGTCAATTGAAAGGTTACGCGTTATAAAAGATCGGCGATTTTGGCAATTTCTGAACCATCTGCGGCCTAAAATATTCACCTAATCATCACACGAGTTGGCACACACATAACCGGGGCACACTGGATGTTACAGGTTGAAACCGGTCAAGGTCACTTGAAGGTCAATGTAACCAAGGTCAAATATGCGTTTTTGGTCATAACTCCGCAAAGGATCGAGCTCGAGCAACAGGAGTGTCTCAAAATCTGAGAAAAATTATGATCTATTTATAATTCTCTGCATTTGTATAGTCAAGTATAAATAGTTTTCGAGATAATCACAAATTATAACAGTTCCTTTCTCTTTCAGTGTTTGTCGTTAGAATTCTAATTGGAACAAAAATAATTTCCATTTCTTCTTTTTCTGGCGACACACAACACACAACTAACACACACACAACTCATGAAACATTACATTTTGTTCCACACTAGTAAACACAGACGTTCTCATGTGTGACCAACATCACACAAATGTTCATGGGCCTGTACACATACACACATTGCATTGTGGATATAATGATCATGTGATATGGGCTGGGTTTATAACTCCTCATAAACTGTTTCTGTGCTGATGAACTGAACCACCGACGCCTCATGGGACCAGGTTGATATGTCTAATTGAGCTTGTTTAAATTGAAATGGTAAAAAATATTCTTGTTTAAGTTCAGGAAATGAAAACTGAAATAGATTTTTAAGACAAAATAACATAAAACTGAAAATCCATGACACATTTTTTTGTCAAATCACTCAACTCTATCCTTAAAGATGCATTGCGTGACTTTTTGGTGGAGGATATATTACCTTACCCTCGTACCTGTTTGTCTTCATGTCGTGTTATTGCTTTGCTGAGAATATTCCGCGGGTAAGGTCTGTGGAGAGGCGAGCACACTCAGTGTAATAACATTAGAGGTTGCTCATGACACTTGAAAATTGCCCTGTACTATAAAATAGAACCAAATAAATAAGGCATATTTGAATAATTTCTGTTTGCAGAATGAAATGACAAACTGAAATTTACCTTAAAATTACTTAGAAAGTTCATAAAAGTTGCTTATAAAGTCCGTAAAAAGTGACTTGAAAACACAAAATCAATACATTTTCAGAAAACTTCATGCAGATTGAGCAGCATCAAAAACATCTCCTTTTTCTTCCAAATTTCTTCCTTAATCATCTTTTGGAGCTAAAATCTAACACAGGGTTATTTGAAACTTTATTTTTTATCGTACTTTGATTGAGGAGTGTTTTATAAATTTAACACCAAAGAGTTTTTAAATAAAGGGACAGAAGTGAATGCAGAATAATCTAAAACCTCCAGCTCTCCTTCCCCGTCTGGACTGGGTTGTGTGTGTGTGTTTTGGGGCGAGTGCGCATGTGTGCCCGCCCCCCGTACCCGCCCCCCCGTGCCCCTCCTCTCTGTGGCACCCTGTGGAGCGAGGGAGCGAGGGGGGAGGGAGGAAGAGGAGGTGTGGAAGAGCGGTTTCCTGTTATAGGCACAAGTATACGGCTCAGTCTGACTAACTAGTTTTATAATGACACACTGAAGCGCTGTGAGGACCGGCTGCGTTATAGGCCCGTAATTAGCCAATCACCGAAGCTGTAATTAAAAACAACAAAGTCTCTTGTGTCTTAAAAGCGTCTTATTTTGGATAAAAGACTCTCCAAGAACATGTTTCGAAATACTTACACATTCTTGTTAGGTAGATAAGCGCTCACTCTCTTTCTCGCTTTAACTGCTTCACATTTTTAATCCAGAGCTCTACAGCCAAGGATTTTTATGTATTTATTTTATTTATTTTTTTTCTGGTAGAGGGTCGATCAGATGCTTTTCTCCATGGAGATGTTATTGCTTTGTCTGGAATGTTTCACAGTATGGCATTAAACGTATCTTCATGGAGAAAAAACCAGACCAAATTCCAGTTTTTCTAGGTATTTTTGATCAATAAAACCACCTGTAATAGAATAAATGTAAAGTAGATTTGTTTAACGTCAACCTGTGGAACATTGGAGTAGATGATTAATCCAGAATCAACTTTTCCGAGCACCCAAAATGTTGCTTTTGCATTTTGCTTGGATTGTTGCGTCATAGGTAAAAATACAAACTTGTCCTGTACAGTAAGATCACAGAGGACGTGAGAGTTCCAGAGAATCTTGGTTAAAAGTCCACAACAGGAACTCCTCAAGGACAAGGCTCAAAAGCAAAAACACATAGTGAAAATGACCAAGCTTGTCCCATGCAACAATTAAAGGACTTTTAGTCTAATTCCAACAGAGTGCCTCAGACTTTGCAACCACTTTTTACTTTATCACAGTAAGTTTTTACATTTCAAGCTTGGTCATCTTCACTATCTGTTGTCCTGTACTGTTTTTAAGCCCATAAACCATCACTGGACTCATTCTGTCTTTTCTAAATGCAGACACTGGACAAGTTGGAAAATGTGAAACAATGATCCCAAGCTTTAAAAGGGAATTAAAGTTACAGGAATGCATAACATGTGTCCGCGTTATCTTGAATATATACATTAAAAAAAGAAAAGAAAGAAAGAAAATCACAAGTTAAGATTGATCAATATGAGGGGGAAATTACCACTTTCTGCCAGCACAGTAAAAAAGGAAGATGTTTTATAATGAGCTAAAACAAGACCAAAACTTTCAAAAACAGTTCAAAGTCCACTTATGTTTACCATGGATAACGCCGCAAAAAAGACTGTTTTAGGACCTTTAATGTATTTGAATGTGGTTACAATTTAGATTATTTAAAAAAAATATATATTTGTGGTGCCAAAATGATCAACTATTGCACGACACCAACGCTTTCACTTCACTAATATACTGAATTATACTATTTTCTGGTTAGAGTCCATGTTTTTCTCCGAGTTGGACACGCAAAACATAATAAAACGGCTGAAGCGTGGACATGTCTTCATATCCGAGATCTGAGTGGATGACGGATGGATAAACAAACGCAGCATTAATACTGCATTACGCACAAGTAGTTCGGGCCACAGCCACGTCACTGTTCTGTATCACTGCTCTGCTCCTGTTGTCATGACATCACCATAGCAACGGGTAAAAAAAAAAGTTCAACTGCTGCGGGTAAAATGTAGGGACTATATTCATTTAAAACACTAAAATATCTGATATTTTGGACGTTTATAGTCAGGAAACAGGCTTTTCACGTTCACAAGAGACACATTTCAGTTTGTAGCCGTAGCGTAAACACATGAAATATCTTGGAACATTCTAGACCACAGGTGTCAAACATACAGCCCGGGGGCCAGATGCGGCCCTCCTAGACCTTTAATTTGGCCCCCAGCCGATTTTCTACTAAAATATTTTAATTATATTTTCTATTAAAATCTTGTTAATTGTCTGTGGTGTTTATCACATCTGCGTCTCCAGTGTCTCTGTACGTGGCCCCTCCCACCACAGCAGCACAAATGAAGACTTGTCTCTTTCCAAACGCTCTTAACGCTCTTAACGTTCTCATCAGAAAAATGTACAACATGAGAAAAGTGGAGCCGAGTGCAGGATTTTACAACAAAAATTGACTCATTCCTATTTCCATACAAGTTAATGTTAAAACATTCAATCAATCAATCAATCAAACTTTATTTGTATAGCACTTTTCATACATTTGAAATGTAGCACAAAGTGCTTCACATGCAACAGATTTTTTTTTTTTTTCAATAAAGGTTATAGTAAATATATAAATAGAGAGCTAAAAACAGATGGAGACTAAATAAAATATTAATGGTAATTTAATTAAAAGCAAATAGTAATAATAATAATAATAATAATAATGATAAAACAAGTAAAAGTTTCAATTAAAAGCTAAATTAAAAAGATACGAAACATTGTGTTGAAATTGTATTTTTCTTAGTTTCAAGTTGTTCATAATATTATAATATTTTGTAAAAAAAAAAAGAGTTCATCAATTAAAAAAGATTTCTGCAATAGATTTGTGTTTCTCTGCACAAATATTTAAACTTATTGTTATTTTTGGGGTTTATATGCCATGAGTTTTCTGATCCGGCTCCTTTGGGATTAAAGTAGGTTGGATGCGGCCCCGGACCAAAATGAGTTTGACACCCCTGTTCTAGACAAAGCAACAACTTTTCCATAGAGACAAACAGGTAGCGAACCCTCCACCCTCCACCTTTGAAATCATAAATCCGAGCTTTCCTCTGTGTGTTTTGCAGGTTGGATGGAGCACAGCGAGGGACTACTACACCTTCCTGTGGAGCCCGATGCCTGAGAACTACGAGTCGGGGAGCACGGTGCACCGGACTGTGGTGTTCCAAGGTACAAACCGCTGCTCCGTCTGAAGTCACTCCTCCATTTTACAGCTCTTATAAACACTCAGCACTTTGATTTTAATACGGAAACACGACCGCAGCGAGAGGCCTGGGACCCCGCTCGTCTGTAACCGCCGTTTACTGAGCCTCTCACGGTCAGATATTGCCCCGTGAAAATATGAGAGGCTGCTGCGGTGTGGCACACTCAGTAAAAACTGTTAGCCAGCTAGCCGCCTGCCGGATCTGCGTCGCTAGCCGCCTGCCGGATCTGCGCTGCGAGATTTTCAAGCAAGTTTGAGTATCATTTATTCATTCGTTTTTCAAAACAAATCCAAAAATAAAAATAAGAAAACAGAAAAAACAACAATTTTCTTCAATATTTGTCTCCAAAGCCAAAATAAAAAAAATTATAATGATTATTTTTAAATTTTTAAATTTATTAATTAATTTTGACTGTTGCAGACTGAATCAGGACTAAACCAGGACTGATCCCAAGGCTGAACCAGGAGGACTATACTAGGACTAAAACAGGATTAAACAAGGACTAAACTAGAACTGAACCAGGATTGAGTGTCGGGATCGTTTAGTCCTGTTTTAGTCCTGGTTCAGTCCTGGTTTAGTCCCGGTTCAGTCCTGATTTAGTCCTGGTTTAGTCCTGGTTCAGTCCGGCATTGCAGTTTGTCTCGTAAACCGGAAACGGTCGTTATCCCTTTTTTCCATAATTCATTTAAACACAAAATCGAAAATAAAAAAAAACCTAATCATTATCTGTTTTTTTTCATTTTGGTTTTGGAGACAAATAATGAAGAAAATAGTTGTTTTTTTTTTCTTATTTTATGGTTTTACTGCTTTTACCACCATTTACTGAGCTTCTCATGGTCAAATACAGACCTTTTTTACAACGGCCGGAAGTGCCCCAGAACTTCCGGTCAATGGTTTTCTATGGCAAAGTGTGTGTAAATGTGTGTCGTTTTTCCCAGCAGCTTCATAAATCTGCCCCATCAACAAATCTTCAACCAACAAACTCCACAAAGGATAAACATTCTAACATGAACAATTTATCCAAAACTATCAAGAGAAGAAAGAACAAAACTTAAAGGAAAACAACGACAAGACCGAGACTGAGACGACGGCCCATCGGGACCAAATCGAGACCATCTTTGTAATTTTGACATTTATTTGTATTTTACATTTATTTTGGCACATTTATATCAATCTTTTTTATTAATCTATCTCCATTTGATCAATCATTGAGTGTCAGACCTCGAGACTGAGACAAGACTGAGTCCGAGCACCTTCAAAACCAAGACAAGACAGAGTCCAAACTCCTTCAAGACCGAGACAAGACCGAGTCCAAACTCCTTCAAGACCGAGACAAGACTGAGTCCAAACTCCTTCAAGACCGAGACAAGACCGAGTCCAAACTCCTTCAAGACCGAGACAAGACCGAGTCCAAACTCCTTCAAGACCGAGACAAGACCGAGTTCAAACTCCTTCAAGACCGAGACAAGACCGAGTCCAAACTCCTTCAAGACCGAGTCCAAACTCCTTCAAGACCGAGTCCAAACTCCTTCAAGACCGAGACAAGACCGAGTCCAAACTCCTTCAAGACCGAGTCCAAACTCCTTCAAGACCGAGACAAGACCGAGTCCAAACTCCTTCAAGACCGAGACAAGACCGAGTTCAAACTCCTTCAAGACCGAGGCAAGACCGAGTCCAAACTCCTTCAAGACCGAGACAAGACCGAGTCCAAACTCCTTCGAGACCGAGACAAGACCGAGTCCAAATTCCTTCAAGACCGAGACAAGACCGAGTCCAAACTCCTTCAAGACCGAGACAAGACCGAGTCAAACTCCTTCAAGACGAGACAAGACGAGTCCAAACTCCTTCAAGACCGAGACAAGACCGAGTCCAAGCTCCTTCAAGACCGAGACAAGGCCGAGTCCAAACTCCTTCAAGACCGAGACAAGGCCGAGTCCAAACTCCTTCAAGACCGAGACAAGACCGAGTCCAAGCTCCTTCAAGACCGAGACAAGACCGAGTCCAAGCTCCTTCAAAACCGAGACAAGACCGAGTCCAAGCTCCTTCAAAACCGAGACAAGACCGAGTCCAAACTCCTTCAAGACCGAGACAAGACCGAGTCCGAGCACCTTCAAGACCAAGACAAGACCGAGTTCAAATGTGTTTGAGTCCAAGGAAGACCCCAAGCCACAAAAAAAAAAAAAAAAAAAAAAAAAAGGGACAAGACCGAGTCCAAACTCCTTCAAGACCGAGACAAGACCGAGTCCAAACTCCTTCGAGACCGAGACAAGACCGAGTTCAAACTCCTTCAAGACCGAGACAAGACCGAGTCCAAGCTCCTTCAAGACCGAGACAAGACCGAGTCCAAACTCCTTCAAGACCGAGACAAGACCGAGTCCAAACTCCTTCAAGACCGAGACAAGGCCGAGTCCAAACTCCTTCAAGACCGAGACAAGACCGAGTCCAAACTCCTTCAAGACCGAGACAAGACCGAGTTCAAATGTGTTTGAGTCCAAGGAAGACCCCAGGCCACAAAAAAAAAAAAAAAAAAAAAAAGGGTCTCCAGGCCGATCTCAAGACCAAGACCAGTCTCAAGTACTACTGAGCTAACATCTTGGTCCTAGAAATGTCTCGCATTCAAACTGCACAAATCTGTCTGTGTTAAAATCAACATCATGAAATCGATTTTTAATTTTATTTGTAGAGTTTTGTTGAGTGAACAAGTTCCTTCTGTTTTATTCATGATCATAACATTAGTTTAGTTCTGTGTGTCACTAATGCGCCGTCGTTGTTTCCTTTAAGTTTTTGTCTTTCTTAGTTTGATAGTTGTGGACATTTACACTGACATTTTGGCATAGAAAGTTACCGAGCGGGACTTCCGGCCGTTGAGAAAAAAAATGTATTACCCGGTGAAAATCTGAGCGGCTGCTGCGGCGTGGCACAATCAGCAAAACCGGTTAGCTAGCAGCCTGCCGGATCCGCGTCGCTCGCTGCCCTGCTACAAGACGGAGCAGATGAGGGAGAGGAGCGCAGCCGGAGGCGTTACGACTCTGAAATGTTAATGGTTGACAGTGTTGGCATGCACTTGTGTTCAGAGTGTGCTGTGCTGGGACATAAACGGAACAAAAGAATGTGTTGAGTGATGTTTTTTGTCGCTGCTAACAATGCAAAACCTCGTAAAATGTGTTTTCTATTATTAGCAGTGATAGAAACATTAATTACATTGAAAGTGATACGACATTCTGTTTTTATCTCATTTTTAAATCTTATATTAAGCAAACATTGACTCTTGTGAGCTTTAAACCCTCTTACCTCATCAAAAACAGACCTGGACTTGTTGTGTTGTGTTTTATTCACATGTTTGAGTAACTCTTTTTTTATTATTATTAGTTTGTCTACATCCCCAAGGTCAAAATGTTCTGTTCCACCTTGTGATGTCATGAAATAAAACACAACTCTGTATGTTTATGATGAGGAAACAACATTATAGCACAGATCAGAAATAGTAGAGGTACAGTTCAGTTTTAGTTTAGTTTAGTTTTAGTTTTTTTTTTTACATATACATACACTTTTGAGTTTTATTTTTAGACATTGTTTATTTTTTACATTTTTCTCCTTTAAGAATATTATTTCAAGGAAGAAGTAACTCTTGAGAACATTAATTTAAACACTATTTATTAACACATAATATTTGTTAACTGTTCCTCTTGACGATTTGAGTTTTTAAAGCAAACCTATTCTGCAAAATCCACTTTTCAGAGCTTTTATTCATGTTATATTTGTTTTCTCTCACTCAAAGTTGTATTTTGAGTGATTTATGTGTGCTTGAGTAATCTTTAATTAATTAATTTATTTATTTATTTATTTATTTGAAAAGGGACAATGCACATTAATCAACATCAAAACTATGTAAATGTGTAAATGAGTTTGCTGATAAGAGCTCATTTGCATCGTTAGTCCCTTTGCCAGACGTCAAAAAGACATCCTAAAAGAAAATACACTCAAATAAAATACAGTAAAAGTTTTAGTGTTCACACATTTGCGTTTCTAAAAGCCACTTTTTAGCATTCTTTTTAAAAGCAGAGAATGAGGGAGATGTTCTGACGGCTTCGGGCGCAGAGTTCCACTGACGGGACGGACGCTCTGACGGAGAAAACACACTGAACAAATCCAGTTTTTCTATGAGGAATAATGCAGCCTTCCCTCACTCACTCACTCTGCCCTCACTGGATCTGAAATTAACAAAGTCGTTCAGCGAAAGGGGGGCCGAGCCACGTTTAATCTTGTACATTAGACAGATATTTTTAAATTGAATAAGATTGTCCCAGGTCATTCATTTGTATTTCTGCAGAATGTGACAATGGTGGTATCTGAAGGGTTTTTTGTTGAGTCGCTTGTTTATAGAGTGATTCATTGGGTTTTATTGTTGTGAGTGATGTATTAGTCCAGCTGATGATACAGTATGTGATATGTGAGAGGATAAGGGCAAAGAAGTAAGATTCATTTTCAAGACGCCGTTTTGTCAGTGAACCGGTGCATTCCCGCTGCTCTGTACTTACTTCGTTCTCCAATTTTATTTTCTTAATTTTTGATACACGTAGGATTTTTTGTACAAATGGGGGGAAAAAAAATAAATCTTCTGCTCTCTAGTGTGATGTGCAGTTGTCCATTGGAAGTGCCGACAGCTGCACAGCGCTTTGTTGTGATGTTTACAGTTTACCATTCTGTCTGTCTGCTTTTTGGTCTAATGTGTTGATGTGTATTCTCCCCTAAATTAGCATTATGTTATTGTTATGTCCATTGTCTTCATTATTGTCTGTTTAATATAAAAAATATAAATGAAAAAAATAAAAAATAATAATGTTTACGGCTACGTCAGGTCCCATTGGGCACCTCAGTTTTCTAGCGTGGAAGGCAGAGGACTTGTTTTTCTTTAATCCAGTTGTTTTAGATCAATACTGGCCACGTTTACATCATGGTTTTTAATTCTGAATTAATTGTTCTGAATTATATCGTCTTTATTTAAGTCCTCTCAGTGTCTGGGGGTGGGGAAGGGTTCTGATTGGACAGGGACACAAATGTATTTACGTCGACCGGAAGAAAACACACTCTTCAGCTGCTACCGGCTTTTCTGTCATCTCGGTTTGTCGTTACGCCTCGGACACAAACACGATCCAAACTTTTTCCGCGGTGGTTCCGATGATAATTGCGCAGCAGCTGGAGAATTGTCTCATCACGCTTTACGTCTGTCGGCCGAGGAGGAGAAGGGAAGAGTGTCGGAGAAGGAGGAAGAAGACAAAGCGAGTGTGAGGCTGCTGTACCTCAGCCCACTCCCACATCCCGCTCACAAATCCAAAGAGACGTGGAGGAAAGTTCGAAGACAAGACTGGTGGAGCCGGATCATCCGGATCGCGTCAGAAGGGCGACACAACGAGCATGAACTGAACGACTGGGATTATTTTTAAGAAGAATAAACGTTTGCATGACCGATGAATAAATGAATTCGGCTTTAAAATCGAAATAAACCGCCCACTTACTTCGGAATTAAGTTTCATTTCTAATAATAATTTTCATTTGGAGTTAAGTATTTACATGGTCTTTTAAAAGTGAAATTCATTTTTATTCAGAATTATTTTTATTTGGAATTCAAGCTCTCATGTAAACGTGGCAATTGTGATTTATAATGCCCAAATTATAACATAACGATCCTCGGGTGTCATAGATTACAAACACAAGCACAATATGTCTTCTTTAATCATCCAGTCCATACCTTTCTCCCTTCCACATAAAATAAAAGTGTCTCTGAGCCCCTCATAAACTCCATTTTCCCACTGTACATTTGTAAATAAAGACTCGTTTCTCCTGCAGGTTATTACGTCCCAAAGTCAGACGGCGAGTTCTATCAGTTCTGTTACGTGACTCACTCCGGGGACATCCGCGGGGCCAGCACTCCGTTCCAGTTCAGAGCGGCGACGCCCACGGAGGAGCTGCTGACCGTCACCGAGGACGAATCCAACTCGGACATCCTGGTGGTCAGCACCAAGACCGGCCTCCTCCAGGTACTGTCACCACACCGCACCTTTAACCCAGCCGTCTTTTATTCTCATGACTACGGACGGAACAATAACCGAAATATCGTGATATTGTATCGTTAAAAGTGGTCATGATATATCGAATTACAAGCTCCTTTATTCAAATGCATTGTTTTATCCCAGGGGTGTCAAACTCATTTTGGTCCAGGGGCCGTATCCAACCTACTTTGATCCCAAAGGGGCCGGATCAGAAAACTCATGTCATATAAACCTCAAAAATAGCTATAAGTTCAAATATTTGTGCAGAGAAACACAAATCTATTACAGAAATCTTTTTGATTAATGAACTCTTTCTTTTACAAAATATATTGTTATGAACAACCTGAAACTTTAAGAAAAACATAATTTCAACACAATGTTTTAACATGCACTTGTATGTAAATAGGAATAAGTGCATTTTTGTTGTAAAAATCCTGCACTCGGCTCCACTTTTCTCATGTTAGACATTTTGCTGATGAGGGTGTCACGGTCAACAGTCAAAACGATCGTCCTTTAAGAGCGTTTGGAAAGAGACAAGTCTTCATTTGTGCTGCTCTGGTGGGAGGGGCCACGTACAGAGACACTGGAGACGCTGCTGTGATAAACACCACACAAAATTAACAAGATTTTAATAGAAAATATAATTAAAATATTTTAGTAGAAAATCAGCCGAGGGCCAGATTAAAGGTCTTGGAGGGCCGGATCTGGCCCCCGGGTCGTGTGTTTGACACCTGTGTTTTATACCATACCAACTTTATTTATAAAGCTCTTTAAAAACTTTACATTTGGCCAAAGTGCTGTGCACAAACACAGGACAGACAATGACAACCACAGCAGAAGAAAATATATGGTACACATACAATACAGCTACTAAAAACATAGAAAACAATAAAATACTCAACAAGAAATATACGTCATTTGTTAAAAGCCAGCGAAAAAAGGTGCGCTTTTAGGAGTGATTTAAAAACAGGTACAGACTCGGCCTCTGATCTCTAACGGCGACTGGTTCCAGAGCCGAGGGGCAGAAACAGAAAACGCACGGTCCCCACGAAGCTCACGTTTAGTTTTTGGGACGGCCAGCTGGAGTTGGGCTGCAGACCCGAGAGTGCGAGAGGGAGCGTAAGGGTGGATCAAGTCAGTGAGGCAGGAGGGCGTTAGGCCGTGCAAACACTTAAAAGTAAATAAAAGAATTTTAAAATCGACTCTAAAAGACACCGGGAGCCAGTGGAGAGAAGCTAAAATAGGTGAGATGCTCTTGTGTTTCTGGGTTCCAGTTAAAAGTCGAGCCGCTGAGTTTTGGACCCGTTGCAACCGGGAAAGTGCATTTTGGCTCACACCAACATAAAGTGCATTACAATAATCCAATCTATTCATCACAAATGCATGTATGACAGTTTCGAAGTGTTTTGTTGACAAAATAGGCTTCATTTTGGCCAGTTGCTGGAAAAAAATAGATTTTACAACAGCACTAATTTGCTGATCAAGTTTTACATCTGGGTCCATTTTGACACCAAGTTTGTAACAACTGGCTTCACTAAATGATTTAATGAACCCAGGTCCACAGGAAAAGAAGAATTTAAAGAGCTAGGGCCAAAAACCATAACTTCTGCAAAAAAATTCTGGTAAAATTTCTGGTAGCAACAGCTAAAAAAAAACATTAGGAACTACATATCCCATGATTCATTTCAGCGCAGACAACATGAAGAAATAAGCTTTTTACTTGAATTCTTGGGATTATGATTAACCATCCAAAATATCGCAATAAATATCGTGCCGTAAAATGAATATCGTGATAATATCGTACTGTGAGATTTGGATATCGTTACATCGATCCTAATAACAGATGTTCCATGTGGTCTTTTAGTTATTTAGTGGATTATTTGGTCAGTGGAGTCTTAAAATCGCCACACGCTACGGGATTTATCGGTCTTAAACGATTTTTAAAAGTGCGACCAAAAAAAAAAAAAAGCGCACACCACAGACACGAGGAGAATCTGATGAAACTTTAAATCTCCGATCACCAAGACTGCAGCGGGATCTGTCTGCGGACCACAGTAAAACCACTCGCTCTGAGACTCTGAGCTCTGCACTTCTAGTTTAGATACAAGTCAAAAGTTTTTTATTATTATTTGTGAAATATGTTGCAATAAAATTTCAGATGCATGAGTTTTAAAACATAAAAGATTGGAGATACAGTCCACAGGAAGTAGAGTCACTGTCGCGAATCTGCAGCTTCACCTCGATCCGTGCGCTGTGTGGATGTAAACAAACACACGTGAGGAACTACTCCGGCCTTTTTACTTTTAAAGAAGGACTCAAACTGGATTAATAGTTTTGTGAACTGAGGGTTGAAGGATCATTCAAGGACAAATTGTATGGATAATATGAATGAAAATACTGCAGTTTAACTTAACTTTACGAGAGATGAGTAATAATTTATTTTTTTTCGATATACTGAGTTTGTATCTTTTGCCTGCGTGTCCGTAACTCCAAGTGCTCGTGACGCTCGGTTTTATTGGTTTTTTTACCGTATACGATGTGAAAGAGCAGCACAAAGTCACACTGACACCACACACATTAGGAGCGGCTTCAAACAAAGTCAGGTCACGCCTCCCCGAAACAAATCGCAGACAAAATCAGGCAAATTCTCCTCTAGTGTGCGACGAAAATGTACATTAGTCAACAGAGATGAAGTAGATTTCTGTGGCACAACAGCAGAAAGGTGAAGTGACTGAGTGAACTGAAGATTTAGTATTTTTTGGTATTTATGTGTGAAAATGCAGATTAAACTCACAATTCACAAGTTTTATTCTGTCAATCCAATCCACTTTATTTGTTTTGCACATTTCACAAAGTTTCCAATGTGCTCCACAAATACGTAATAATAAATTAAAAAATGATAAAATAAACGCTCAGATTTAATCATACTAGTCTTAAAATAATAAAATCAGTAAAATAAAATAAGAGCAAAATTGTAGAATAGCAATAATTAAATAAAATACATTAAAAATAAATAAAATAAATAAAAGACACACAACCACACAACTCACGTGGTGTTAAACCCAGAGACTGAAAGTGGGTTTTAAAACAAGACGAGCGTTTCAGAGTTTGGAGTCGGTCACTGAGAAGGTCCGGTCCCTTCTGGTTTTAAGTCTCGTTTTAGTCCCCACGAGCTGGAGCCGGACCTCGGACCTCGGACCTCGGACCTCGGACCTCAGAGCGCACACGGGAGATGACGGAACGTGGGTCCACTCCAGTCAAATCTTTAAAATCAAACAATAAAATCTTAATTTTTTTTTTTCCATTTAATTTAATTTATTTATTTGTTTGAGCCAGGTACAACAAAATTGATAAACAATAACAAAAATAGTGATATGTACATGAACGTATTTGGGTGGTGCTCAAAAGGAGGAGGATGAACAGTATCGAGAATGAAAAATTTAAGGATTTTTTTGTTTGTTTTTGTTTATGGTCGTACAAACTAATAATAGTAATGAAGAAGACACAAAGTTTACCGTTTATGATCGTACAAAATAAACAGTAATGGGAATGAAAAATGTAGGGATTTTGTTTTTATTTATGGTCGTACAAACCATACCAAGATAAAAAGTAAAAAAGTTAAAGAAAAGCATGTGTTTAGTTAATAGTCGCGGTTTGGACAATGGATCTAATCTTCTAGGTTTTTCTGTAAGATTTGATTTTTATATAGTTTTTTTTACACCAAGTTCGTACAAGCTTTGATATGTTCATCTAAGCCACAGGTGTCAAACATATGGCCCGGGGGCCAGATTCGGCCCTCCAAGACCTTTAATGTGGCCCTTGGGTGATTTTCTACTAAAATATTTTCATTATATTTTCTATTAAAATCTTGTTAATTTTCTGTGGTGTTTATCACAGCAGCGTCTCCAGCGTCTCTGTACGTGGCCCCTCCCACCAGAGCAGCACAAATGAAGACTTGTCTCTTTCCAAACGCTCTTAAAGGACGATCGTTTTGACTGTTGACCGTGACACCCTCATCAGAAAAATGTCCAACATGAGAAAAGTGGAGCCGAGTGCAGGATTTTACAACAAAAACTGACTTATTCCTATTTACATACAAGTTCATGTTAAAACATTGTGTTGAAATTGAATTTTCCTTAAAGTTTCAGGTTCTTCATAATATTATAATAAGAAAGAGTTCATCAATTAAAAAAGATTTCTGTAATAGATTTGTGTTTCTCTGCACAAATATTTGATTTATTGTTATTTTTGGGGTTTATATGACATGAGTTTTCTGATCCGGCCCCTTTGGGATCAAAGTAGGTTGGATACGACCCCTGCAACAAAATGAATTTGACACCCCTGATCGAAGCTGTTCCCTAAGTCCACTCCACGCCAAAATCAATTCTTAAATGAACAGGAAGCCAGCGCAAAGACACAAAGATTGCATTTCGTGAGATGCCGGAACAAAGTCCATTACGGTCGTCCAGGCGTGATGAAGTAAAAGTGTACATGACTTGTTCAAAAAGTTTAAAAGATAAAAAAATGCAGTATAAATAGACTGTTTCCTAGTACTTTTTTCTGCACACATAGCAGTTTTTGCATGAACTCCCCCTGCAGGTGTGGTCCGTGAGTGCAGTTTGGGTCAGATACAGAGATGCAGAAGAGTTTGGAGAGCTTTTTAGTCGAACAATCGATTGGTAGGACATGTCTTTAGTCCAACAAGAATGTCTTTAGTCGAACATAGGATTATGGATCTGTCTGAACGGGTGTTTATCTGTGAAGCTCCTTGGTGGTTGTTGTTGACGTTTCTCTGTTGTGTCCGGCGTGATGTTGGTCCGTATAAATTCTCCGGTGTGTTTGTGTCATGTGCAGAGGGTGGAGGAGGCGCAGCAGGAGCGCCGGGAGCTCCTGAAGACCATGCGTCTGCTGCAGGAGGACAAACAGCAGCTGCAGGAGGAGCACAGACGTCTGGCCCAAGAGAGAGACCACGAGAGGGACACCTGCGCTCTGCTCCGGACGCACAACCAGGTCTGTTCCACCACACACACACACACACACACATCTACACAACACACAAGGAGGAGAACAGGCCTATATAAAGCATTATTTAAGCTTTTCAAACCGTTGGTGATGTCTTGACGGTCTGAACTGAAGATGCAAAAGTAGCGTCATATTTTCACTTTTTATTCCCCGTTTAGACGAGTGTTTTCAGGAGGAAGTATGGGTGCATACGGTGACGCAAAAGTGTGTGGAATTGGATTGTGTATGATGCCAGGCGGCTCGGTGGCGACGCTCGGTGGCGACGCTCGGTGGTGACGCTCGGTGGCGACGCTCGGTGGCGACGCTCGGTGGCGACGCTCGGTGGCGACGCTCGGTGGCGACGCTCGGTGGCGACGCTCGGTGGCGACGCTCGGTGGCGACGCTCGGTGGCGACGCTCGGTGGCGACGCTCGGTGGCGACGCTCGGTGGCGACGCTCGGTGGTGTTGTATGTGACGTAAAGGCATATGTGACCTGAGCAGATCTGACCAGAGTTTTGTGTCTTGGGCAGTGTAGACGGAAACACTACGACAGAGTGTATTCAACTTTTCTACTCTGGAGGTGGTTTCAGATTTTTGAGTTGTTAAGCCTCAAAAACACTGTTACCGTCTAAACCACAGGTGTCAAACATACGGCCCGGGGACCAGATTCGGCCCTCCAAGACCTTTAATGTGGCCCTTGGGTGATTTTCTACTAAAATATTTTCATTATATTTTCTATTAAAATCTTGTTAATTTTCTGTGGTGTTTATATCACAGCAGCGTCTCCAGCGTCTCTGTACGTGGCCCCTCCCACCAGAGCAGCACAAATGAAGACTTGTCTCTTTCCAAACGCTCTTAAAGGACGATCGTTTTGACTGTTGACCGTGACACCCTCATCAGAAAAATGTCCAAACATTGAGAAAAGTGGAGCCGAGTGCAGGATTTTTACAACAAAAAATTGACTTATTCCTATTTTCATACAAGTTCATGTTAAAAACTTTGTGTTGAAATTGAATTTTTCTTAAAGTTTCAGGTTCTTCATAATAATATAATATTATAATAAGAAAGATTTCTGTAATAGATTTGTGTTTCTCTGTACAAATATTTGACTTATTGTTATTTTTGGGGTTTATATGACATGAGTTTTCTGATCCGGCCCCTTTGGGATCAAAGTAGGTTGGATACGGCCCCCGGACCAAAATGAGTTTGACACCCCTGATATAAACGAAAGGCACTTCTGATCAAATATTTTGTCGTTTTTACCCTCAAGTGTTCTCGTGTAAACAGAAGGTTCCAGGTTTAACTTCCAGGGGCAGTGTGGGGACAGAGGTTAGAGGAGTGGTCCCTCAACCCGAAGGTCAGAGGATCGATTCTTGCTTGAAAGTCGTCAGAGGGGACGATGACACAGATTGGCAGACTCGCTTCCGTCCACAGGCTCTATTCACGCTTATGGCATTTGGAAAAACGTGGGTGACGACATCCGGCGTAGTTCCCGAAACTGAGCGTGTGATAAAACTGTGGATTCAGCAGCAGCGTCTTCACAACCTGCCAAAGCTTTTCCATGGAGGACGGGACTCTGATCGTATCTTTAATGTCACTTACAGACAAATAATAATAATACACAATTTAATGACCAATTTATAAAAGGAAAAAAGAAAGAATACAATGACCTCTTGATGAAGAAAACCAGGCCATTTTGTCAGAGTTACTATCGCCAACAGAGCCCAAAGGAAGTCGTCATCCACATGTTTCCAAACGGGTCCGTGTACTATTCAGTGTGTGTTTGGTCCTGTTCATTGTGTGTTTGGTCCTGTTCGTTGTGTGTTTCGTCCTGTTCAGTGTGTATTTCGTCCGGTTCAGTGTGTGTTTTCTCCTTTTGAGTGCGTTTCGTCCTGTTGAGTGTGTGTTTTGTCCTGTTGAGTGTGTGTTTCGTCCTGTTCAGTGTGTGTTTCGTCCTGTTCGTTGTGTGTTTTGTCCTGTTGAGTGTGTGTTTTGTCCTGTTGAGTGTGTGTTTTGTCCTATTGAGTGTGTGTTTCGTCCTGTTCGTTGTGTGTTTCGTCCTGTTCAGTGTGTGTTTGGTCCTGTTCATTGTGTGTTTCGTCCCGGTCAATGTGTGTTTTCTCCTTTTGAGTGTGTTTCGTCCTGTTGAGTGTGTGTTTTGTCCTGTTCAGTGTGTGTTTCGTCCTGTTCAGTGTGTGTTTCGTCCTGTTCAGTGTGTGTTTCGTCCTGTTGAGTGTGTGTTTCGTCCTGGTCAGTGTGTGTTTCGTCCTGTTGAGTGTGTGTTTTGTCCTGTTCGTTGTGTGTTTCGTCCCTGTTCAGTGTGTGTTTTGTCCTGTTGAGTGTGTGTTTCGTCCTGTTGAGTGTGTGTTTTCGTCCTGTTGAGTGTGTGTTTCGTCCTGTTGAGTGTGTGTTTCGTCCTGTTGAGTGTGTTTTCGTCCTGGTCAGTGTGTGTTTCGTCCTGTTGAGTGTGTGTTTCGTCCTGTTGAGTGTGTGTTTTGTCCTGTTCAGTGTGTGTTTTGTCCTGTTGAGTGGGTTTCGTCCTGTTCAGTGTGTGTTTTGTCCTGTTGAGGTGTGTTTCGTCCTGTTCAGTGTGTGTTTTGTCCTGTTGAGTGTGTGTTTCGTCCTGTCAGTGTGTGTTTCGTCCTGTTGAGTGGGTTTCGTCCTGGTCAGTGTGTGTTTTTCGTCCTGTTGAGTGTGTGTTTCGTCCTGTTGAGTGTGTGTTTCGTCCTGTTGAGTGTGTTTTGTCCTGTTGAGTGTGTTTCGTCCTGTTGAGTGTGTGTTTCGTCCTGGTCAGTGTGTGTTTCGTCCTGTTCAGTGTGTGTTTCGTCCTGTTGAGTGTGTGTTTTGTCCTGTTGAGTGGGTTTCGTCCTGGTCAGTGTGTGTTTTGTCCTGTTGAGTGTGTGTTTCGTCCTGTTGAGTGTGTGTTTCGTCCTGGTCAGTGTGTATTTTGTCCTGTTCAGTGTGTGTTTTGTCCTGTTGAGTGTGTGTTTTGTCCTGTTGAGTGTGTGTTTCGTCCTGTTGAGTGTGTTTCGTCGCGGTCAGCGCGCTCGTACACTCACTATTTACTCATGTATCTGGAGCCGGTTCCTCGTGACTGATCAGAGTCTCGGAGCAGCTCGTGTCCCGCCTGAGCGCCACCGCCGCAGCCGCTTTAACGACCTGACTCAGCGGAACTGGGACGCCACCGCAGGCCCGGCACCATGACGTCAAACGGCCCCCCACCCCCGCCCCCCCTCGCTCCTCTGGCACCGCGGGGCCCCACACATGTGCCAGCGCGCAGCAAACAACACAAACACTCTCATTATGCCACCCGCCTGCAAAAAGCCCTTTTAGAAGCCAGTGTGGAATGAGAGGAAGGCTCGAGCCCTGCCCAGCCTCAGGGACAAAGTGCGCACAGTCACGCCATCGCACCGGCCGGGCACCGCACCGCCGCTATTCTCACCCAACCACCACCGCATTCCTCATACCCGCTGAGAGAGAGAGAGCGAGGGAGAGAGAAAGAGGGCATTAAAGCGCTCACACAGACCCTTTCACGGCGTTTCCCATCGACACAATACTCCACACAGACGGGCAGGGCATCCGAAGCACTGGCAACTTAATCGCAGCCGCCTCCAGGGAGTTTTGTTCTGCGCAAAAGCTGCAAACTCTGTGGCCTAGATCTCTGCAAACATGATCTGAAACTTCCGCCGGGGTTTTATTCTGCCTGAAAGCTTCTAACCCTGTAGTTTAGAGCTCTACAAATGTGTTTGAAAATGTTCCTGTGTCTTTTCCTAGTATACTTTTTTTTTTCTTTTTTGAAAAAGTAAAACAAGGCGAGGCAAGTTTATTTGTATAACACAATTCGTACACAAAGTAATTCAAAGTGCTTTACAGAATAAGAAATACATTAAAATCGCAATAAAAACAAATCAAAACATAAATAAACGTAAAGATTAAAATTTTAAAAGAGAGAAATACATTAGAGAGAAGAGTGCGGAATGAAAACCTTTCAGTCATACGCACAGTGAAACAGAACCGATTCAGAAAAGAAAAGTTCCATGAGAAATTTCATGAAGTTCTCTTGATGTTTACTGGGTCCTGCAGAAGCCTGAAATCTGAGCTGAAAAAATCTGTTTTTCTTTAATAACATCGAAAATAATTAATGTTGACATGATAACGATGATAAAACCAGAGACATGTTCAGTGTATCTTAGGATCCTGTGTTGTATAGTGTCTGTGTGTTGTGTTTGTCTTTCATTCTGTTTAGATTTTTTTCTTTCTTTTCTGTAAATGCTACTTTTGTTCATGTATTTAGATCCTACAGCTCAAGAGGCTTCCCTTATAAATTAAATTAAAATTAAATAATTTAGCTCCATAGTATGAATGGAAGTTGAATATAAATATGGACATTGTGGATCATTTGGTGCCGGTTTTGTGTCTTTATCATCATTAGTTTCATAGATCTGGCAAAAGTGTCTTTTTTTTTTTTTTTTTTGGCACTTCAAGGATCTTGAATTAGTAATAGATCCTGAATTCCAATCCAACCCACTTTATTTCTATAGCACATTTCACAAACAGTTTCCAAAGTGCTGCACAAATCCATAATAATAACAACAATAACTAGAAAAGCAGTCAGAGAGCGCAGACCTCCGCCAAGGACCACCCCCATTTTTTATATAAATTGCGATAAAATCAGTCTTCTGGATCAGATCCGGATCAGCCTTTGGAATATGAAAGAGGATCCCATTGTCCATCCCTGAGTCAAATTTCATGGGGTTTGGTCAATAATTAACCGAGATATTGAGAAACAAAATTTTTGGCCCCATTTACCACAATGTTAACTAAAATTTCAAAGTGATCCAGAATCCAGGATTTCTTCCGGATCAGCCCCAAAATGAAATCAGTTCTTCCTTTTCACATTTCCAACAAATCCTGAAAATTTCATCAAAATCGGTCCATAACTTTTTGAGTTATGTTGCTAACAGACAAACAAACAAACAAACAGACAAACAAACAAACAAACAAACAAA